TGTAAATTTACAGGGAAGAAGTTTCAAGGAAGTTTCTTGAAAACAGTCAGAGATAGAGGATGGGACTAGAAGGCTAGATTTGAGAACCACAAAAATAGAGGTCTTTAATTAAGTTGATGAATACTATTGTTTTCTTAAAAAAACTTAATAGGAGAACATCAAGATACATTTTTAGAAGTTTAAAAATAAGATGAGCCTGGAAGCCACTGGGCTGTTGCTGTAGGCATGCTGTGACTGTGGTTTAGTGCAGGGACCCTCCAATGTGCCAGTTTGGATCCGGGGAAGGAGGCGGGATTTTGAGAGAACCTGACTGATCGAAGTATGAACACAAACTTACTGGGGACGTGAGAGAGCTGGAGTAAGTTTTACCCCCTTAGAAGGCCTTCCTCATTATACAGGGATCATAACCTGTATTTCTCAGTGTTGCCGGTTAGATTAAATGGGGTAGAGTATGCACACGAGCAGGTGCATAGCCCAGCTTAATGTAACTAGGATAATAAAAGCATCGTTCTTCTTCCTTGCTCGTTCATTCATTCAAAGGCTGATTTGAAGATTTTTGGTTTTTAAACTGTACACATGCTCTTATCTGTTGGTCGCGTCTCCCTAAGTCGTTGTGAAATAAAAATAGTCTGATCTTAGCCCAGCTCAAGAGACGTGTCTGACACAGACGATTAACAAGGGAGAATCCTAAAGGAATGTTCTGGCCTCAGAGAGCCGGGCAGGCGTGCGATTCCTTGTCCACTCCGATCGCCTTCATCCTTTATTTGTACAGCTGGCCCGGGACCCGGTGCTGCTGTGGCCACAGTGGGGAGGCGCCTGTAACGGGTCTGATGACTCGGTGTCAGCTTGGCCTTTGGATAGAAAGCGATGACCTGGTGGCTTCCCATGGCATGCCAGAGCTTCCTCGGCTGTCAAGCCGATTGTCATTTCTGGATTCAGTGAGTCTGTTTTCTCACTTCTCCGTCTCTCACTGAAAGTCATAAACCACAGAGGCAATTCCATGCACACAGTAGCACAAAAAGAAAAAAAAAATCAGGGGTCCCACATCTGAAAGCCAATCGTTATTCCCCTGGGCATTTTTTCTTTTTTGCTACAGTGAATGCAGTGCCACAAATCCATATCATGGGTACTTCTTTAAAAAAATTTTTTTTCTTAAAGATGCAAAATTCCAGCCATTATTTAATAATTCTGTAGTTCTAGAAATGTCTTTTCTGGGCTTGTTGTCTATGCCTGTTCATCCTGAAGTTAATTTTAGTACAGCCTGATGAATGAGTAAGCTCCAATATTTACTTATATACATAGTTTTATTCAAACTGACTCCTTTTATATGAAATAATTTAATGAAAGCGGAACTATTCTCTGCATTACTGTGGATAAATTATTTACTCAAGTTGGGCAAACTAGCAATGACTATTTCAAAGATTGCTATCTGGGAAGTTTTTGTGAGCAGCTTTCTGACGGACTTAATACTGTTACACCAGTTTTGGTGTATTTCTTCAAAAAATTTATCTTATGATAAAGTACCGATTAATATGAAAAGACAGCACTGCATATAAAGCAAACCACAGAGTCTTCCCTGTAAAAGGTAGGCATTTAGCACTGTCTGTTAGTCATTTCACTGGCAAAGTAGGGGTTGTGTTTGCTGTTGACTGTGGTTGGAAAGAAGACAGAACACGCCTGAGTTCTATCTCAACAGCGGTACACACCAGCATCGCTGCATTCAGGACCCCTGCTCTGCTCACCCCAGTGTGGAATCATCTGAGATCCGCTAACTACTGGCAGCCAGACTTCTGGGGATGGCAGTTCAGAGACCGGGGAAAGCAGATCCTTTCCCTCATTTACAGTCTTCCCTTGGTGGATGGGGGTCTGACCGCATTCTTTTATTAAGTATTTCTTGCTCTCTGCCTTGCTTACTTCACGGCCTTGGGCATCTGGACTCTGCCTTCCAGGACCCTCATGGTCGGGTGGGTGTGGGGTTGGGGCCACACAGACAAAGAGGCGATCATAGTAACCGGTGACATGTGTGGTTAGAGAGGCGTCTGGGAGAGGCATCTGACTCTGAAGGGTGTCGGGGAGGGCAGGAGATCAGCGGAGCCTTTCTGGGGAAGGATTGACGGATGCCTTGGAGGGGTTGGGAGGGACACTTCTGGGACAGGACCCTGTGAAAGAACAGTGCTTGATCAGACATGGCCAGGAAGTCGGCGCGGCAGATCAGGGTCAGGGGAGAAGGGAAGAAGTGGGGATGAAGAATTTAATCCAACCATCCCTCGTTTCATTGCTGTCTGAGGGGGTTTTAGAGGGCATTTTCCCAAATCAGGACACATAGCTGTGCTGAACGGAGTGCCACCATTCCTGCCACTGCGCTGAACATTTCTACTGCTTTTCATTTTCTCCTCAAAGTTCCATTAACTCCCTGGGTTGGGCATCACGTGTCTAGAAGGAAACACATTCAAGAGATTTCTAGCCAGTAAATTGGCTGTCCTTTCTGTTACCCTTTTATGTTCAAATATGAATTTCGTCGTTTTTAAAATAATACATTGTTGTCAAGTACAGCATTCACAAAAGAAAACTGAGGAGTTTTTGTGTGAACCATATGTAAGACAAAAAGATGATTTCCAAACTTAATGAAAAAGCAGTTATTTCCCGAGCCTTATATTTAGGAAAAATGGGAGCTTTTAACTTAGGGTAATTAATCCAAACCAAGTGAGACTGATTAACACAAGTAGAAAAGGTCTGCTGAAGTCATTATTTACTCTTACTTCTAGATTGTAGTTCAGAAATTGTGTAATATCTAGAGTGAATTGGCGTGCCCTCAAAATGCCCCCCAGTGCTTTGCACCCATATAATTATATCTTAATTTTATTTATTTATTTATTTCTTGTAACACGTATTTATACATTTAAGCTTCCTTGAAAATTCTAAGCTGTCAGTCGTCCTTTGGATACTCAAGAAATAATAGCTCTTGTAAAGAAGGGCAAGTACAAATAAATTTTGATTTATAAAATTTAGGCAGATGTTAAAGGCTGTTGGCAATGTTTGTCGAGCCGATGACTGAGTGATGAAAGAGAAATGGTAAGTAATCTTTATTATAAAAGTCACATTTGCTGATAGTAAGATGCTCACAAAACAGAACGAATCATTGCCCGGCTTGCATTTCTCACTCCGGAGACGTGATGACATGCCGTTTCTTGTGTATCCTTCTAGAAAGTTCCTTTACAAACGTATTTAGAGAAAATGTCTGTCCATTTGTTTCTCTGCAGGTGGGATCATATGATGTACGGCTTTTCCCCCCTGTTTAAGTAACCATAAACTATTTGTAATAACAGTAATGTATAATAATAGCTAGCAGTATTGTGCCAGCCCTATGCTAAACACTTTACAGGCATTATTCTTTTTATATCCACAAGCCACTGACAGATAAGGCAGCTGGGGAACAGAGAGGTTAAGAAACATGCCCAAGGTCACACAGCTAGTAAGTAATCCTGGGCTTCACGTGCAGGGTGCTGACTGCAGAGCGTGGACACACATTACACTGTTTCCTCTTCATAATTTAAAAATATGATTTGCTAGGATGCTAAGACGGCAGTAGACAGGATGCCCTGATGGAGACATGAGCTTTATTTTACATTCAGCGGGAAGACAAGGAAACTTTAAAAAGCAGGGGTGTGTTGTGATCTGATTTCTGCTTGAATGTCACTCGGGTTGCTCTCTGGAGAGAGGCTGGGAGGAGGGTAAGACGAAGCTGGAGAACCACTCAGGAGCCCAGAGCAATGGTCTCAAGGATGCTGGCCTGCACCAGCGTAGCAACAGGGAGACAGTGAAATGGGTGAGTTTCAGATCCGTTTTGCAAGTGAAGTGCTAGGAGCTGATCATGGATTAAGTGTAGTGTGGCAGAAAGAAGATTATCGAGGATGATTCCTGGGATTCTGGGGCTGGATTCTGGGTAAATAAGGAAGGTGGATGGAGGCTCAGATTCAGGTGGACAATCAAGAGTTCCATTTTGGATTTTTTTTAAGCCAGAAGTACCCTTGTATTAAGGAGATGTCAAGGAGGCAGCGATGATATCCGGAAGGTATGATCATCTGGAAGTTAGAGTAGCCTGTGCTGAGACGCATGGGGGAATTAGGATCCACAGCATTTAAAATTTCCTTCCTGGAGGGAACCATGGAGGCAGGGGTTGTGGAGAGAGAGACCGGAGCCTGGGACACGGGAGGGAGAAACATCAGGGGGGGTCAAGGGAGCGTGCCCCTCTGAGGCAACTTCCCTACTCCAAATAGAAAGAGCCTTGAGACTTGCTGTAACAACTGAACATGAATTCACTGCACCAGGGCATCTCAATGCCTCGGAGAACGGGCTTCAAGGGAGCAGGGAGCTCCTTATCTTTGTGTCAGAAATGTTCCTACTGGGGGTTCAGGAGGAGAACTGAGTTCATGAAATGACTTCACCTAAAATAAGAGGTGGCCTTTTCATTTGTGGAAAGAAAGTTGCATAAATATAACATGACATGGAGAGCCTACTTCCAAATTATCAATAAGAAATTAGATAAAAGCAGCTAAAAAAAAGAAATGTTTCTCCCTAAAAGCGCAGACGAATTATTTGAAGTAAGCAGAAGGGCTGGCCATTTTTCCTCACTCTTAACTCGTGTCTCTAACATCATGGCACCGAGACTTTGATTCTTAAAAATTCCTTACTTCACTAAATAGCTCAGGATTTATAAATGCCAATGGCGAAATGAAAATAGTTAGAGAGTTATAATTGGTTTATAGATGTGTGTGTGTGTACATGCAGTAATTCAGATTTTTTGTACAGCTTCAATTCGGATTGAAAAAGACAAGAATTTTCTTTCTTTTTGTAACTGGTTGATCGTTTGTGCTTCTATTGCTAGAGTCTGCTCCATTTTTAATTTTCTAGCCTTTTGTAAACCCAAGTGACTGTATATTTGTGTTAGAAAATGCTACTTAAGAATCATCCGCCCCCACCTTTTTAATCTTTCTTCTTAGGGTCACCCAGGACCACCTGGGCCACAGGGTCCTATTGGGCCCCTGGGGCCTCCAGGACCCATTGGAATTCCAGGAGAGAAAGGGATGAAAGGTGACAGTGGCCTTCCTGGAGCAGCAGGTGACAAAGGTGACAAGGTGAGCTTTTTCATAAGTGAAAAAGTCCCTTTAACCACTTACCAGCATTAATACGCCAGATTGTTTTCTAAATCACAAGTAATACCTATTTGCACCTTATAATAAATGGTCTAAACTCCTCTTCCATAATCAACCCTCATTCCTAGCCCTCTTCTGGAGAAGCCCGCCTTTCTGGATCTATTCTAGGCACTTACATACATGCGTGGACCCCTGGAGGGGTTGTACTCTTTAAATGGCTTTTTAAAAACCTAAATGATGTTATATGTGTCATGCTGAGCCTTTCTTTTGTTACTCAGCCATCTGGCTTACAGATCATTCCATATCCGTTTACGGAGATTGAACTTATTCCTTTAAAAACACTGTATTAGAGGCCATACTATGGATAAACCTCTAGTGTATTCCCGTTGATGAGAATTTGCAGTCCTATCCCAGCTCTGTGTAGGGCAGGTGTGCAGAGACGGTCCTGCAAATTACCTGTGTTTGCATTTCAGTGTCTGTTTCTCTAGGATAAACAGACTCTGAGAAGCTGAATGTCCAGTTTATAGGATCTGGAACCTATTCTTTGAAATGATATGGCCAAGTTGGCTTCCCAAGTACAAAAAGAAAAGCACAAAATGTTGATCTGTAAATGCTGCATTCGAGCTCATTAATGTAAAAACAAGTGACAATGACTGCTATGGGTTTTTAAAAAAATGAGTTAATGGTTCATATTTTCAAGTTAATCAACCTGTTAATCTAATAATTTAGTAGCTTTTATATCATTGTTTTATTTTCTGGGATTTTAGGGTCCAACAGGTGTTCCTGGATTTCCAGGTTTGGATGGAATACCTGTAAGTATCCTTAAATTTTCTCCATTTTTTTTTTAAGGAGAGAGAAACACTCATCGAAGTCCTTAAAAGCACATGTTCAAATATATATTTTTATATAATACATAATATATATGATATATATGGCAAACTCCTTTATATTTTCTCATTTTAGTAAATGCCAGGGTACTCGCATTTCAATTTCGTGTAATAACTCTGAGATCAAAACACTTTACTTGACAAGCAAGGTGTTCAAAGAGATTAGAGAAGAGCATTCCAAAATATGAGCTAGATACGCTTGTCACCTCACAATGTTCTAGAAATAAATGTACACTCATTACCAAAGATTTTATTTGCTAGTAACTCCCAGTGGTGGAAGTGGGCTTAAAACTCTCATTGCTAACATGAAAACCAAATGAAAGAAGGAAGAGGTATTTGGGAGACTTCACAATTCATTAGAGTCTTTTTAAGGATTTCAAGGAAGATTTCCTCCCAAATCTCCCCAAGTACTCCAAACTACATTAATTTAAATTGGGAACTATTAAAATAAATTTACTTAATTTTTTCTTTGCTATAAAGTAGTTGTGGAGAGAGGAAGGAAATTTCACAAATTTAACAGCATGCACGTCCCAGTCACCGTATTTGGGGACCCATATTGCATAACCTTGTTGTTACGGTATTCTTGCAAAAATTCTTCACCTATAATTTTGTTTCTGTAGGGACACCCGGGGCCTCCTGGACCCAGAGGCAAACCTGGCATAGATGGCTACAATGGCTCAAGAGGTGATCCAGGGTTTCCAGGAGAAAGAGGAACTTTTGGCCCAGAAGGCCCCCCAGTAAGACGCCACAGCTCATCCTAGTGGGACTCTTAAGTGAAAAGGCCCTCCAGTGTGAACAGACTTGATGTGTTCAAGAAACAGAGTTAACACAAGTGTGCTGGGAGCATGATGAACACACGGGGGTGACTCGAGGATGAGGACAGAGAGGTGGGCAGGATCTAGAACACAGGGGGACTTGTAGACTGTGTAAAGAGAGGCAGGGTTTTCTTTCCCATGCCCGTGGGAAGGCACTGGATGGCCTTAAGGAAGGAAGTGACTGGGTCTGACTGATGTGAAGATGCTGCTGGCTGCTGTACAGAGAATGGATAGGAGGGGAAGGGAGCCAGGACACCAGTTAGCAAAACTTACATTGTTTATCAGTGTTCACTGCAGACATGTAAGCCCCTCTAGGTATTTCAAGCAGAAAGGAATTCAATACAGGGAATTTGGCACTTACTGTAATGGCTGGAGGATTGAAACTCCAGGGTTACTCCAGGACTATGGATTTCAAGGGCTCACACTTAGCTGAGATTCAGGCTTCGGAAGCTGCCCTTGTACCTCAGCCACTGCCTCTCATCCCCATGTCAAGACACCAGCAACACTCACGTTCCTGCCTTCCTGCTTGACAGCATCAGCAGTATCAGAAGAGAATGTCTTCCTCACTCCTACCTTCCAAATCTCATAAGTACATTTCCCAGGTGGAACCTACTTCACATCCAGCTGCAAAGCAGTCTGGGAAATGTAGTTTTTAGCTTTCTACCCTCGTAATGCAGAAAGATAAATGGTAGGGGTATGGAATGGAGGTCCAGAAACAGCTGACAATATCTAGCACTTAAGAAAACTCTACTACTGCTTTTAGTTAATTTTTTCCTGCAAAAATTTGAACTTTTATTTTAAACATAACTTTAGCAAGGACTAATCTTTACCACTTATATCCCCTTTTTCTCTCTTTCTTTTCCTTTTTCTCACTTAAATAAAGACTGAAGAGGATTTAATACTGACTTTCAGTCGCTGTTTTTCAGACTTTCCACTTCCCTAATTAAATGTCATTTCCCAAGACTCCTTCTAAAAGGTTTGTTCATCACCACCACAGGCCTCTTGCTTTTTTCTATGCATTTTCATTTTGCTCCAGATTCTTGTGGTAACAATCTGAGCACAGAACTCGAAAAGGAATTTCCATCTTCACGTTTTCCTTGTGACAAACCAAGTAACAACTAACTTTCATTGTTAAGCTTCTCAACCACCCTTTGTTTTCAAACTCAGCCATTTGAAGGCTCAAGTGCAGTCTGCTGAATGCACATTGCTTAAAGTCTTCAGATTGGATCACACCTCATTCTACTGAGCATCTATGAACAATCAAGAGAGCAGGCTTCTCGATTTTAGCTTTAACACAGCATGTAGTACTGACTGCAATACGGACGTTTGTCCTAATGGTCTCTTTGCAAAGCAGTTTTCTTTCCCTTGACCCATTTCATGTATCAGCAGTCCTCAGTCTGCACAGGAGTGTAAGATTTTAAGAATAATATACAATTTGAAGGCACACAAAGCCACGTTAACCTCCAGTGGGAAAATTACTATTGTTCTATGATCTTTAAGTTATCTTGTTGAAAACATTAAAAACTCTCTTACTTCCAGTTATAAGCATATAGGGAAAAATTTAAAAACTATTTATTTAGGATATTGTAATCTAAAACAGACGAAACATTGAGGATTAAAGGGTTTTCTTTCTTTGTAAAAACTTATCAAGGTAGTTTGAACTTTGCTTGCCTTCTGGCCTTGTAACTTAGGGTATGAAGTGAATTGGGTTTCATATCATATGCTTTGGTGAATCATCACACTCGTTTCTAAGTTTGGACCAGCTCCGGTGTTGTGAAATATCTCCAGGAGTTCCTTTAGCATGCAGTTGTTCTGCCTGTGTCACTTCCTCTGGTTATCTTCATCCTTTTGGTCACAACTGCTTCCCTCAGTTATGTCGATAAGTTTGTCTTCACTGAGTCCCCCTGGCCTGAATGACAGCAGCCTCAGCATTCCCACAATGGCTATTTCTTCCATAACTCCACTTACATTCTAGTTGGACTTCATCTCCAGTATTATCATTTTTCATTTCCCCACTTCATTTTCAACTTTGTCGGCCAATTCTCTCTTTTGGTGATTTGTTTTTATGAAATATTGTTTGGGTTTATCACCGGGAGACAAGGGGCAACACAGCTACACGTTTCGCCGTCTGTGTGTGGACTGACTGACAGACGTTAGTGACGAGTCACTGACAGACTGAAAGTAGGAATGCAATCAGTCAGCGATCATGATTCACATCTGTTCCTCACTGGTGGTCTGTGGACCAGTGAGCTTGCAGTGATGTCTGTATTTTCTGCAGTGACTCAGTTAATACACAGTGGGAACTGAAATTTGAACTGGTCTGTTGGAGGACTGGTGCAATTTAACTTATCTGTGGGACTGAAACTCACATGTATTGGAACCGTGAGAAGCAGGAATGGCCTGTGGAAGCAAATCTGATTTCTCAAGGAAATTGTTGATGTAACCGACCACGAAATGGTTTGGTATCTCCCATTGGAAGCGAAGTCAAGCCCTCTCCTGAGAGGGATAAATTCTGAAATCTGCATGTCCTTCATAGGAAACTTGATATATGACGATGGTAGAGTTTTTATGTGGTAACCAAGTTAAGCTATCTTAAGATACTAAGTATGAAAATTATGGAGGAAAAATACACTGAGCTATTTCATTCACTTTTTAAAAAAACTCTAAGTAAACAAACTTGCAGCTGTGTACAAAAACTCCAGAAAGGAGCACTTAATGATTTTTAAAAATTAATTTTTCAAAGTATACACAGGCTATGTTTTGAATAAAAATACTGAAATAGATAAAATCTTTTTTTTTCCGCTAATCTTAGGGCATAAATTATTAGCTGACAGTTTCAAAATTGTTTACCTATAAGAATAATCCAAGTATTATGTGTATTATGTTGTGAGGAAAAAAAATTAGTAAATATCTGTAAGTATAGTAACGTATATTATATATAATCTATTAAAATGTATATTATATATTTATAATATATTATACATACATGCATTATATATTATATATGGCATTATATATATTATTATACATATTAGTAGATGGTCAGTCTTAGGAGATTCCTTACTAGATTTTCACCAAATATGGAGTGAATATATGTGAGCACCTTAGGACAATGGTAATGATGAGAATAAAGAAATCTCCACTAGTGAAATATGATTATAATGCTAATTTTCTTGGTAAGTAATATTTTATTTGGAAAAGAAAATACTGAAATAGTAATAGTTTTTCCCCTTTAAGTGAATATTTTATTTTCAGGGACTTCCTGGAAAAAAAGGAGAAAAAGGAAATCCCGTGTTCATTTTTGGTACTGTAAAAGGTATTCAGGTAAGTATTATGATCAAGGTGAGTTAACAATATTTTTTTTCATATGGGTAAACCCATGCAGGAAACACATGAACTGAGATTTCCTCTGAAGTGTCCCTGAGGAAGCTGGTTTGGATCGTTACCCTGACGCTCTGGGAGGGCCTGTACTTCTCGTGTGAAGACACGTGGCTTTAGCTTCTCTGGCTATAAAATTCCAACACTTCCAGATGATTCTTGCAGAGTTGTAATGAAGACATTTATTTCAGGTTTTCCCAGCCTTGGCACTGTTGACATTTGGGGCCAGATAATCATTTATTGTGGAAGCTGCCCTGTGCATTGTTAGGATGTTGAACAGTGTCCCTGACCTCTACCCACCGGATGCCAGTAACCACCTCCCCCACCACACACCCCCCAAACAAAATCTCCAGAAATTGCCAAGTATCTCCTGGAGGGAGATCATGCCCAGCTGAGAAATATTCATTGATTTGTAGCTAGAATATTGTGATATTAATACTTGTCACCCAGTATAATAAGTCACCACTACTGAACTTGACAATTATGCAAACCTAATAGCACCGTCCTTGGCAAATTCAATGCTTTTGTGTTTTTAGCAGAGAATGATATACAAATATTCAGAAATAAACTCTTGAATGACCACCGCATCTCTCTAATTTGAGTAGCCCTGGATAAGCAGAAAGAGATCGCTTGATAATGATAAATCAAGAGGAGACATATGGTACATTTTCAAGATGTGTCCATTTCTGTTAAGGAGGGCTATTCTACAATAATTAGATAAAAGTCATCCTAGATTGTTTCTGTCAGACCCCAAGTTCCGTGCCACCTGGAGTGGGGACACCTGAGTGCTGGCCCCTTAAGTGAGCTCACAGTATTTGTTTGTAGCCTCTGTGCCTGTTCTTTCTTGTTAAACAGCAAGTACTGTGTTCTTGTTTATAGCTTAAATGATGTATTAATAAACTTAGCATCAAAAGCGGGGCCATTCTGCAACAGACTTGCAGACATAGTAAACAATCTTATGGCAACCAGGGAAAGGGGGTGGGAAGGGGTAAATTTGGGAGTTTGGGATTCGTAAATGTTAGCCACTATATATAAAAATAGATTTAAAAGACAAGCTTATTCTGCACAGGGAACTACATTCAATATCTTGTAATAACCTTTAATGAAAAAGAATATGAAAATGAATATATGTATGTATCTGCATGACTGGGACATTGTGCTGTACACCAGAAATTGACACATTGTAACTGACTGTACTTCAAAAAAAAAATTAAAAGCAGGGTCATTCTGAGAACCAGTATGATGTATTGGATGGAATGAACTGACCCTTACCTATACTGTGACTTATGCAACCCCCTTAACCCCTCTGAGCCTCATTTTCCTTATTTGTGAAAGAAAATTAAGATAATTTTCCTCTCAATGCTGATGATCTTTTACAATAATTCATATTGCAGCATGTTGTAAATCTTAACACACAGTATGATGTTAACTATGGCGAGAATTTTTTGGTAATTGTGCAAGAAAGAGCAAGTGAGATAGAAGGGGAGATGTCCAGAGAGAATGCCTCATTTTAAAGAGAAACAGAGGATCTCCAGTAAAAGTGGCAGATCAGTAATCTTGGAGTGACAGTGATCTTAAGAGCCTGTATCCACTTCACACCCATTCGGATGATGATTAGTTTAAAAAAAAACAGAAAATAGTAAGTGTTAGTAATTATGTGGAAAAGTTGGAACCCTTGTGCATTGCTGATGGGAATGTAAAAGGGTGCAGCTGCTATGGAAAATGGTATGGTGATTTCTCAAGAAATTAAATGTAGAATGACCCTGTAATCCAGGAATTATACTTCTAGATATAGACTCCCCAAAATGAAAGCAGGGACTCAAACAGCTATTTGTACACCCATGTTCATAGCAGCATATTCACAGGAGCCAAAAGGTGGAAGCAACCCAAGTGTCTACCCACTGATGAGTGGATAAGCAGAACCTGGTATTTACATGCAACACAATATTATTCGGCCTTAAAAAGCGAGGAAATTCTGACACATGCTACAACATGGACCAACCCTGAGGTCATTACACTAAGTGAAATAAGCTGTCAACAAAAAAAAGTGTGATTCCACTTAGAGGAGGTTCCTAGATTAGTCAAATTCATAATTTCAGAAAGTGCAGTGGTGCTTGCCAGAGACTGAGGGGGAAGGGGTCTGGGAGGGCTCGTATTTAATGCACGCAGAGTTTCTACTGAGGAAATGAAAACGTTTGGGCAATGGAAGGCTGTGATGGTTGTGCAACATTGTGAATGCATTTAGTGCCACAGCACTGTACACTTAAAACCAGTTAAAATGTTAAGTTTTATCATATGTCTATTTTACAATATATTATATTTTACATTTTTTAAAAAGAACCTGTATTCAAGAGAAGATACACCCTTCGATCCTTTAAAGTAGCTAGAGACTCGGGGCAGAGTCACAGGGCAGTGGATGTGCACTGAGGCAGGTGTGAGAGGATTTCCACACGAATTTCCCTTACATCTCCTCTGGGGAGATAGCAAGGCGTCTAGGAAGAGAGGCAAGGTCTGGCAGTCAGACGAGAGACAGTTCAACTCTGATAAAATGAGACTATTGGATGGTGAATTTAGAACACTTTACACTAAAAGATGAAATCTCATCTTGATTCCACGTCCTCACGGCTCAGCTGTCTTTTCCTGGATTCGGCTGTGTAGGAGCAGGGTTCTGGGCTTACTAAGTGAGACAGAAAAGTGCTTCCAGAGAGCCTTTCCACAGCTTTCTTTTCAACACTGAAAACCTGAACAAACTGCACAGGCAGTCCAGATAACTCCTGTGTGTGTGTCTAATTTTACGTCTTATGTGTTTTAGGGAAATGGTTTTGCTCTTCTAATGCGATGTATCCATATTATTGCAGGGTGACAGAGGGGACCCAGGACCTCCTGGCTTACCAGTAAGTCTCCCGGGCAGGCCGTGTGCTTCTGTTTGCTTCTCAAATAGCCGATGATCCCCACTAGGGTATATTCCAGCAGGACCCGGGCCCAGCCGGTGCAGAGTTGAAAATGTAGGTCTGTTGTCCGAAAAATATTACAGACTTCAAGATGGTGACAGGAGAGCGTTAAATCCAGCCTGAGGCCCTCTGTGACTGCATAGGTCACATGCCCAGGGAGCATCCTTGAATCTCACCGAACTCCCACTTCCCTTCCCTTTCTGTCTGGCAATGATCACTTGGTATCGCTCAGGTAGACAGAGTCACTTAATATTTAGGGAGATAATTTTGCTTAGAAACTACCTAAATAATACATGTCCAGTGAAAATTCTTTTGCCTGCTGAGTCAGCAATTGTGTATTACGTTTAATATTTTGCCCCATCTTCATCTTCCTGGAGTTTATCATTCGATGATATTTGTCTTTCCAATTAACGTTCACAAGATTAAAACTGAAAGCAATTTTACTTCCCAGTGGTTCTCTTACAATGTTGCTTGGTAGCTTCTGGCTGTTGACAGGATTACTTTCCCAGGCTGGTTCTCTTACTACTCCAGAAGCTCAGTTCTACGTAATCAGTGGGAGACCTCGGTGTTGCTGTTAGAATAAATAGCGATTCATCCTCCAGGAAAGAGCTATGCTATTGCACGCTTGCAAATCATTCGGTGTGGGCAGGGTGAGCTGGAGAACACAAAGTCTCTCCCCCTAGTTGTAGAACTACCCAGCTATAACCTCTCCTTGTGCATTTGTGTGTAATTATGCCACAGCTTAACATCTTCCAGACAATTGTTTATGGCTGAATTGCCTTGATCTGAACTGGGGCCATTTCTGTTCACTTTGACCTTATAGGGCACGTTTAAAGGCTATATTAAAGAGTATAGATAACACTAATATTTTAGCTTTGTTAATGTTAATTAATATTGATATTTAAAGGCATCTTCATGTATATTAAAGTTACAGCATACGTGGAATTTAGGAGTTCTTGTTCTTTGTTCTTGACAAGATTCGGTTGTGAATAAGTAGACTGATCTCTGGGTCTTGATTTCATCCCGCACGTAGGGGTTAGTCACACCCTGCAGAGTGCAGCTGCCCGCCAGCCCGTGCCCTTTCTGCATCTGTCAGAGCTGCTGTCCAAGGTGATTCAGCGGGCAGGTGTGTCCGGAACTGTGAATGATGATTATGGGTTTGGGTCACACCTGCACTGATTTTTCCCCGTGTTTAGGGACCCAGGGGTGCAAGAGGGCCAGCAGGCGCCATGGGATATCCAGGAGAGCCGGGGTTAGCGGTAAGTACAACACTGGTGACTCGTCCCTCTAAAAGCCCAGACTCTACATTTAAATAAAGAAAAAAAAAGGCAAAATTGCAGTCTTGGGTCAGGCACAGGTGGGTTCTTTGAGAGACTATAACCTGATGAATGAGCACACACCCACCACCATCACTGTGAGTCCATCTCGAAGCGCAGGTCCTCGGGGAGGCGGGGGGCGGGGTGGGCGGGAACAAGCAGCCCGGCCAGGATAGAGGGTCCATTTTGTGTGTTTCAAAGTTAACGGTTTCCTGAAGAGGAGCTTGGGACACCCAACAAAGACACATCCTCATTTCCATGACTGATAAGTGATGTGTGTTTTTGTTGTTGATTTAGGGACCTCCGGGCCCTCCTGGGAGTCCAGGCTTGAAGGTAGGTGGCTGTGAGTCAGATACGCAAGTAAAGCCCGTGGACTGCAGGATAAGTGGCCACTGACGTTTGTCGGAATCATGTCGTTCCTCTTTTTTTAAAAATTCCTGAAGTATTTAATAAACTGCAACAAATGGCTTAACCAGAAATCTTACTTGCTCATAATTACCTTTTAATATTCAAAAGCAGTTAGTTTCTGTTTTCTTTTCTTTTCCAGGGTAATCCCGGTGTGGGAGTAAAGGGGCAAAGGGGAGACCCGGTAAGGATCCCCCTGTGCACGGACTTGTGTCCATTATCGAGTCACTGCCCAGTTTTATGGCCGAGAACATCTTAGCTGCATTATTATGGCACCATCACCCTTGACTCTAAAATGACAGTCCTAACAAAATTCAGCAGTAAATTCAAATTAATTTATGTGGCACACTTGCACCCTAGCTGAAAGAGATGGGACATTTCTTCATTATCTTATACCTGGAGTAACAGTTTTTAATTACTGATTTGTTTGGCTTAATTTTACACATTTCATCAGAATCTTAAACTTCACACATCAATAAAAATATAAATAGCTGGAACCAAAAGCATTTAGCAACACACAATCTCCCACCCCCTTCACCGCTGACGCCCACAGTCCTTTCTGCCGAAGCGTGAAAACTAGAGACAAGCTTCAGAAAAGTGCTTTGAGGTGGCAGCTCATCTGGAAACGATCTGAAGGTCTAAGAGTTGGTGAGGGGCTCTTTCAACAACTGTGGGCAAAGAGGTACTGAGCCTCCACTCTGTGCCAGACTAGGATTGGCGCTGGGTGTGGCCATTTAGCGAGACAGCCCTGATCCCCACTCTCACTGAGTTCCAGCATGGCTGTACAGCCATTTGACAGAATGACACACTCACCAAAAATACATTGGAAGACGTCATGATGTGAGGAAACACCAAGGATAGAAAGTTGAGCAGAAATTACAAGTTACAGAAGCATAAGCCTGACTTTGTAAAACCAAAACAACAGCAAAAGCCATTAAGATGCACATGGAGGGTAGGATTCCTCTGCCATGACAACACTGATCTTTCATTGCTGCGGGGCTGTCCTGTGCACTGTGGGATGTTTTGCCGCTTCCCTGACCTCTGCCCACCCAGATGTCAGTAACATCCCTTCCTCTCCGATGTGACAACCAAAAATGTGTCCAGATCTTTCCAAATGTCCTTGGGGGAGGACATGTCCAAGCCTGCCCCTCTGTCCCCACCCCCTGCTCTGAGAACCACTAACTTAGTAAATGGCTGGAAGGAAAAATAGATTAAAACAGTGTTTTTCAAACTTGGAAATCATGGACCCCTGAGATTACGTCTGTCAAAACCCCGAAGCCCACGCGTCCAGGTTTGAGAAGCACCGCGTGGTGGAGTGAGGCAGGCTTTGTCGGGTGGGAGACCTCTGCGCCGACAGCCAGGCCAGAGGAGTAACACAGAAGTATTTGGCTAAGAGGTGGCTGCTCAAATTATCCTAAATGTGCTTTTTAAAAATTCTTTTGGATTGCCAGGTTAATTAAGACATAATTTTGAAATTTTGATGCAGAACTCTTAGAGCATCCAGGAACACGTTGGCCCACCTCATTTTAAGGAACACTGTCCATTCAGGTTGTTAGTTAATTTTTCCTAGGTGATGGGATTATGGCGCACTTAAATTTTGTTCTTCATTACTTCTCTTCTTTGCCCTTTTCACTAAAATGAGTATATGGTACTGTTACAATTTGAAGAAATAGTAACATGACTGACATTTTGAGGAGGCTCCTCGCTTGTCAGCCTTTGTGGGTTTTGTATAGGTTTATTCCAGCTACAAGAATAAATATGGTTATCTTACCGATGCACGTTATACATTTGCTCAATAGGAAAATACATGTTGTTTATGCATTTGTTTGACTGGTGATTCACACAACAGATACCACTGGAGCAGCGACTACACCCCCACTGTGTTAAGTTCTAGGCTACATCAAAAAACAAAAAAACAAACACCAAACCCAGGTACCTAACCTCCTGGTTCATCTGTCGTTTCCCAGGTGCAGGCTGGGATTGAATTATTGGTTGTATTTTTTTTTCGTTTGAATTTGAAACAGTATTCTTCTCCCCCACTCCTCACTTACCAAAAAAATGAGTGGTTTTAATAATTACTTAATATTTGAGGGGTGGCTTTGTTCCACTCAGTGCAGAAAGCAGTAAGAATTTTATGTGCATTAGCTATGCAATAAAAGAATACTTTGAGGTAAGCAGTATTATAATGCCCATTTCACAGAGAAGGAAAGTAAGATTTAGGGGAATTAAGGAAACTAGGGATCAGGAGGTTGATAAAGAACTCGCTCGAAGGAATACACTCAGTAAGGGCCTAGCTTGTACGCTCAGTGCAGAATAACAGAAATATTCTGAAAAGGACAAAATGATTATCTTCTGATTAAGGCTGAGAATTTACCGTTGTGGTGTGGCAAAACCAATTTAAGGAACATTTTCTTCTTCAAGAGAATAACATCTGTAATGGCCTAAATGAAAACGTTTGGCTGATGATTTTATACAGAGAGATGTAAAGTATTAATGAATTAGCCACAACCTAAATCTAAGCAAAGTGGAATGGCTTAATAATTGATAGTATATTCTTGTTACAGATTGTCATATAGGTATCTAAAATGGCACAGACATTTAATATCAGGTTTTTGAAGAATTTCTAGTATAACAGGAAAATGTGCAAAACTAGTGTTATATGTTGAACGATTTAAAACTTTAATAAAATATAACAGCTTAAGCTATGATCTATACTTAAATTTATATATTATTAGAGAGTATCATTATGATTATAATAAATTTTAAGTTATGTTAACACACCATTTAATCACATATGCATGTATATACACATATTATGCCCACACATGTGTATATACACAGTTATATACACACAAGCACACTCAAAAAACTATACCAAAGTTTTAATAGAGGTTACCTCTGGACGGTAGGATTATGGATTACTTTTATTTTTTTAAATTTATTTTTAATAATAAGTACATGTTGTTTATGGAAAACAATAAATATTTAATGGGCAAAGTGGGAAAGGATAAATTGGGAGTTCGAGATGTGCAGATACTGCAAGGTATAAAATAGATAAACAACCAGTTTAAACTGAATAACGCAGGGAACTATATTCAATGTCTTGTAGTAGCCTGCGGTGAGAAAGAACATGAAAGGAATATATGTACGTACATGTATGACTGGGACAACGTGCTGTACTCCAGAAACTGACACAAGATTGTGACCTGACTATAAATAAAAAAGAAAAATAAAGAAAGAAAAGAAAAATAAATTTAAAAAAATCACATGATGTATTTGCCATGATTTTTATTTTAGATCCATGGCACTGGTTTGTAAGTGTCATATCACAATATGTGGGTAAAAGTCTTCATTGTTTCAAATTTTATTTCAAAATAAAGTTAATATGAAATTCTTACTATCTTGATTTTTTTAAAAGGGTGAAGTTGGCCAGCAAGGTTCTCCGGGACCCACCCTCTTGGTGCAGCCACCTGATTTTTGTCTCTATAAAGGAGAAAAGGTAATTGCCAATCCATATGATCCCTTGGTAAAGTAGGGATGGCCAACGCTTCTTGAACACGTACCTGTGCCAGTGCAGAGCTGGGCACCCACCTGTGACACTGCCTCAATCCCAAGGCAACCTTTACAGGTTGGTACTATTATTAGCCTCATGGTACAGAGCTGAAAAATGGGGCTTGCAAAGGATGCCAGTGTTCTCAAGCTCACCCAGCTGCTGTGAGGCAGACCTCGACCTCACTGGGGCTGCTGGACCGTGACCTATTCTCCGGCAGTCAGTGTCCCATGAATCTTGTCTCTGATATGTGGGCTGAAAAGACCACTGGAAATCCAGTTGTCCCTTAGCTGTTGCATATGGGTTTGATGTTTTGATCATTGAAAAGGTGACAGATGCATAGAACTGGGCATGTAACGGACTCTTGGCAAATATTGATACCTGTGTCAGCCTCCGGCACTGATGTTACGGATGCCACGTGCAGATTCTGCTGTCAGTCTTCAGTCACTGGATTGAATTTCACTACCTGGCTCAGAATGAGCCTCTCCCATTCCCAGGCTGCATCTGACTCCATGGCTCCAGGGTGGTCCCCCTCGGGGCCCACCATGTTATACCTCTCACACAGTACTGGCCTGAAGAATGTCAGGTTTAAAGATGTGCTTGGATTTTAGCTGCTCATTAGTGATAGTTGAAGAGTAATCCCTTATTTCAAAAATTAGTCAGATGGTTGTTGAAAGAGGTAATTTCTGAAAGAGATAGAATTCAGTGTGTTAAATAAGAGTAAGCCAGATTGTATCCTTTGTGGTTTTTAGGGCATCAAAGGGATGCCAGGAATGATTGGAGCTCCTGGACCACCGGGACCCAAGGTAATTTATTTAAATAACCTTCTTTGTATGATGAGCTATTTTAATTTAAAAAATATCTTTACATGGTTATTATCATTACTTTAAATGCTGATGATATATGTTACTAGAATTTTTCACTATTCTATTCTCTTCCCAAAGTAATTGTTTTCTTTAAGCTGCTGGCGATCATTTTTATTTTTCGTTTTGTTTTTGCATCCCACATTGCTGAAATATTGTTGTTTGAACCTCTCTAAATGTTTTCATCTCTTTAAGGGGGAACCTGGTTTTGGAGCAAAAGGAGAGAAAGGTATTCCTGGGTTCCCAGGACCTCGGGTAAGGACCATTCACACCATGCTGAACTTCAGTGAGTCTGGAGGCATTTGTCTCTCACATTCTCATAAGACTAGATCAATATTTCTGAAAGTCCAAAAGTGAATATTATCTCAAAGAAGAATTTTAGTCAACAAGAACGGTGTGATAGCTAAATGTCTCAGAACATCCCTTCCACTGACATCATTTAGATAAAACAGGCAAGCAGACAATGGACGAATTGGCAGGAATTGTGGCATTTCCTGACTGACTCAGTGTCAATGATAGTAACTTGAAATTGTTAACTTAAGCCTATTTGATAAGAGAAGGTACTGACCTAGGGACAGTAGCTAGAAAAAAACCACAGTATCAAGCCTAAAACATCACCAGACATGCCACTAATAGGTTTCCTATTAGTAGAGTGGCTATGAAGGCCAGACCCCAGTGGGCATAGGAATATTACTCAGCCATAAAAAAGAATAAAATGATGCCATTTTCAGCAACATGGATGGACCTGGAGATTGTCATACTAAGTGAAGTAAGCCAGAAATAGAAAGAAAAATATCATATGATATCACTAACATGTGGAATCTAAAAAATAAAACACAAATGAACTTATTTACAAGACAGAGACTCACAGACATTAAAAACAAACTTATGGCTACCACAGGGAAACGTAAGAGAGAGATAAATTGGGAGTTTGGTATTTGGAGTTCCTGACTACTATGTACAAAACAGATAACCAGTGAGGTCCTACTATATAGCACAGGGAACTATGTTCAATACCTTGTAATAGCCTATAATAAAAAGGATACAAAAAGGAATATATATAACTGAATCACTATACTGCATACCAGAAATTAACATAACATTGTAAACAATTAAAAAAAACAAAAAAAGATTTTTATCCCAGTGCAAACATTAAATTAAATAAATTAAAATGGAAGAGCAACAAAAACAACAAAGTGATGTTTTTAATTTAAAGCACTGGCGAGGATGTGAATTTGAATAAGATTAAAGATCAGTTAAAATAGCAAATGTTATAAAGAAATGGAATCCATTTTATATTTATATCCTTTTGCTCAATTACTTTTGCAGACAGGATTAAATACCCATGTAGCAATCTCATAAGGTGAAAAATAATTCACTGAACCAGTTTATGTGTTTTGATTTAAGCTTGTGTTGATTTTTGTGAATTTCTTAGGGTGACCCTGGTTCCTATGGATCTCCAGGTTTTCCAGGATTAAAGGTAAATGCCCACCATTATAGAGATGATAAACTGATTTTCATTAGTAAATATAATTCAGCATCATTCAAAAGTTGTATACCAGGGCCTGTAAATTCACACACAGGAACGGGAAAGGGAAACACATTTATGTTACATGATTTCGCTGTGGGTACAAAAACTAAAGCACAAAACTGTCTGATGCAACCCAAAAGCCGTGTTGAGATTTTGCACAGAATCTCAGTGAGCATGTGTCATTCAAATTAGACAAGAATGAGATAATTTGTCACCCAATCACATTTTTTTTAAAAAGAAGACTTGTTTTTGGTTATTTGTAGGGAGAACCAGGACTGTTTGGAGATCCCGGGCCATTTGGATTTATTGGTCCAAAGGTAAAAAAGTGAACCTGGTTGAGTATAGCCTGATAACACTCTGTATCCTGCATGTTATCTAATTTATTTTTTTAATATTTCCAAGAATCATTAAAAAAATAAGTTAGCTTTACATCTATTACTTTAATGCACGTTGTAATGATTACATTTTATACCTGAGCAATTATATTTTTGAAGGTGAATAATAATGAAAGCTTCAAAAATTCTTTAGAGATCATATAGAATCATGATTAAAAACAGAAGGCGCCGTGGAGAGCTCTTTGCTTTGACCATCACTGTGTTTTCTCTTTCTTTACAACCTTTGTGACCTCACCTTTAGCACCTGTGGAGGACAAGCCACAGTGTCATTAAGGGCACACAATTAAGGGGGACAATGTCTGCTGCTAAAGTAAAACGTAGATTCAGACCCTGTATCTGTCCTACAGTACAAGCTAGGCACGGATGCTCATAGTACATCTAAGAAACTTCATGGCTTTAGAGGTGTCCCATTTATGGGCATGGAATCATTTGGAGGGGGCGGGTAATTCGGTTTATTTATCATTTGTTTGTTTATTTATTTTAATGGCGGTACTAGGGATTGAACCCAGGACCTCGTGCATGCTAAGCAGGCACTCTACCACTGAGCTCTACCCCTATGGAATCATTTTTGGAGTTTGATTTTTTTTTCTTCTGTAAGAACTTTGCCATTTGGCTATTTACTTCTGCCCGTAGGTAGGAGGTCACATTGCTTTGCTCCTCTTAGAACTCCATAAACTACGTATTTCTCTAGTCAGCCTATAAGCTTGACTTCTTATATGAATGCACTCTTGGTCCTTCTAATATTTACTTAGTGCCAGGAAACATGAGACAGACATCACTGTTTCTAAGAAAAGTGAACGAATGAATGATTTCAGGGGGAACCTGGAGACCGTGGACGCCCAGGACCACCAGGTGTTCTGGCAACTCCATCTCTTCCACTCAAAGGTTTGTGTTCTATTCAATTTCTCTATAAATTACACAGAAGTGGCATGTGAGTAGTCCCCAAAGAAGAGCTTGGCGCAGTCACCCTGTAGTTTACACCCTAGGCTGTAGCTACATATGCGAATCCTACCAGGAAAACACAGTTGCACAAGTGCAAGCAGAGGTGTGCATCTTGGTTCGTCTCTGTCAGCACAAGACATCAAATTTTATTTTAGTGTGTAAACTGTATCCTGGGACTTTTGTTATGTTACTTTCAGAAAATAGGTTTTTTGATCGCTAAAAATGTGTAAAAGCATTTGACTAAGCCAAGATGCCACCCCCTGGGGAAAAAGCAGCCTAGATCAGCGACAAAGACAAAGGAGGGGCGACGAAGCCACTGAAATCTAAGATATTTCATTTCAAATATGGTGAGAAATTGCAAAAGAGTCTCTCAATTACCACGAAAAGTACTTACATGTGAATTTTAAAATGTATGTGTATGTTTCTTATATACAGCATGGCATTCTCTTTGGCAGGCCCCCCAGGGGATCCTGGGGCTCCCTGGCCGCTATGGAGAAACGGGGACGGTGGGACCACCTGGTCTCCCTGGTCCCCCAGGTAGACCAGGGGAAGTCTGTGCAGGTATGAATTCTTCCACGTGCCAGGTTTGCTCCATCCTCATCTGCACCGGGGGCTCCCCATAAGATTACCACATGCAGATAAGACTTTGAAGCCGCTGCTAGAGTTAGTGTGTTTCTTTATCTCTTGCCCACCTTCCTGGAAAACTCTCCCTATGGACATCTGCTTGTTAAAATTTAGTTCATCCACCTAGGCCCCACCTTAAATCTTCTGCATGAAAAGTACAGACACAAACTATGAATTAGAAAGTAAAACTTTGATACAGACTTAGTTAAAACAACAACAAAAAGCCCCAGTTCTCCCCCCAAAATCAAAAATCAACAGCCTCACCCCCTCGAAACTCCTATGGCTCATGGTACTATTTGATGAAAAGCCTGAAAAATAATCCTGTTGACACAAAGACTTCGAACTTTTTCAAGTGCTGTCTTAGTTAATATTCCCAGGAAGATTAGGAATAAAAGTTTGGAGGGTATTTGTATTCTGTGAACCCAGGAGGACTGGTTAAACGTGCGAGGAGAAAAGTCTTCGAGTAAATGTAACTTTATTCAGTCTGTCTCTTGTCACATTCACTGAGAAGCAAGAAATTTCCTGAGATACTCAACTGTGAACTACAAAGTTCTTGTTTAATCTCTCATGAATCCCATTTTCACTTTGTAGGATCTGACGACCTGAAAAGCAGTAAATAAAAAAGCTTTGTTTAGTACATTTAATCTTTAGATATCGCGGCCATGGCTTAATTGACCCGGGGATGTGTTAATCATACAGGACACTCAGGAAGCACTGAGACCCTGTTCTTAGATCTCTCCTATTTGGCTTGTTTATAATATAATAGTGCCTCCAGCAGACTGAAATCAAAACCCAGTGGGAGTAAGTAGCACACGTCTCTAGCCGATTCAAAACCAAGTATAACAGGAAGCTGCTTAATTCCAAAAACCTTTTCAAAAAGAATTAACCCATATTTTGACACCAACCCATAGTAAGACATAATTTTATATTGTGTAGCATTTACATTACATTACACTCAAGCATGTATCCATAGATACATATGGTTGAAACACAGATTTCACAAAATAATGCCTTTGGGGTATATGATGCAGTCTCTTTTCTATCCCATTCTTTTCTTTTGAAAACAGAGTTTTTAGTGCTGACCACAACTTAACTGATTTCATGCCCTATAAGCGGGTGGTCAAAGCTGCGATATGCCCTGTGCTGTAACCCATTCTCCCTGTTGGAAGCTGGTTGAGCATCTTCCCTGGCACCAAGGCAAGACAGCAGGCAGCATCCGGGTCCATCCAATGGCTGATGGTAGAGATTCTGAGTCAGGTCTCAGGAATGTTATGAAGACAAGAGGGTGGCCAATTCCACAGGAACACATGTTCATTTTGTTTTAAGTACACTAATGAAGGTAGCCTTTATTATACACATTTTATCTTATAATCATCAATAGTGTTTACCATGAGATAAGCAGGGTTTTGGAGTCAGACACCTGTGATTGAATCCCAGCCTTCCCAAATAGTGTAATATAGTGAAATAGTTATATGTTTACACAATGGACTAAAAACTTTCCAGGTTCTAGTACTTACCAGCTGTATGATCTTAGGCATTTATTAAACCTCTCTGTGCCTCAGTTTTCCCACCTGCAAAATGGAGTTCTTGTTACAGTTGAAAGAAGTAATATGTATACCGTTCTTAGAATACAGCTTGGCCTATGGTAAAAACTCACTATGTTAGCTATGATTATTATTACACATATATGGCATAAATTTTCTGTCTTACCTATAAGATATAAACTTTGCAAGGCTGTTTGAGGAGTAAAGATAATGTTTAAAAACATGTGTTAAGCCCCAGCACATACACACACAACAGTGAAAGCCTTCAATTCAATTTGCATGCTACATTACTGATGGCCCACAGGGTTTCAATTGTCTATTGTTGAACAAAACCCCAAACCTAGTGGTTTAAAACGAAAATATTTAGTATATTACCCTTCGCTCTTTCTGTGGTTCAAGAATTCAGGAAGGGCTGAGCTGAGCGATTCTAGAGCAGGGATTTTCACATGGTCGCAGCCATAGAGTGGCTGAAGCTGAAGCATGAGGACTGGCCGACCATCTCTCTCCACTATCTCTCATGTACTCTCAAGCCTCTGTGTGTGGCTCTGTACTGATTTAGCCTTTCCTTATAGCATGGTGGCTTCCAAGCAGTGATATTGCTTCCATGGTGGCTCAGGACTCCAGCCCCAGGCATTTCAGCTCACAAGGCAGAAGCTGAATCATCTTTAATAACCTAGCCTTGGAAATTATGTGGTGTCCTTCCATTATACTCCGTTAGTGCAGACAATCACAAAAGGCTAGCACACTTAAGGGAAGAGGAACACACCACCACCTCTTGCCAGGGGGTGCTGAGGTTCTACATGAGCGTGAGGGACAAGAGCTACTGTGGCGCCATCTTTGAAAATGGCAGTCTTCCACAGAGAGATTCTGGAAGCAGGCACGCTTAGGAAGAAGCAGCTGGGAGAGATGATCACTCCCACACAAAGTCTTCTGGCTGTCTTTAAGCCAAAGCCTCCGGCAAGAGGGGGTAGGCTGTGCAGGGGAAGCAGGATTTAGCTGCTGCCTCATTACTCGCTTTGACCTCCTCAGAACACATTGAACATCCAATCGTTTCCTGAGAACGTGCTATTGCCAGATACTGCAGAAAGCTCCTTAGGTGGGTTACTTTATTTAATATTCATTCCAAGCCTCTGAGGTAGATACAGAGGATTAAATAAGTTAAATAACCTACTTTAGTACCTGTGACTAGAGAAGGGACACCAGGTTCAAATCCAGCATCTCTGTACTTTCTTGCCAACCTATGCTGGTATGGTATTTTATATGTTACATAGATCATTGTGTGAATCCCTTTTATGGGGGGCTGTGTTAGGAAGATATACTCTCTTTAATTTGGGGGTAAAAGATTAGAAGGCTGTCTCCATGTCAGCATACCTAAAGCATGTCCAAATATGACCTTTTAGTACCTAAAAAGGCAATGCCAGCTTTCTTGTTAAATTCTACTAGTCAATGATAATGATAAAAACAAAGGGCTTAAAATTAAATGCCAGGTACCTATCTACATGATTTAATGTATTATCTCATTTTTTCCTTTAAAAATTTTTGTTGAAGTATAGTTGATGTACAACATTATATGTTACAGGGGTATAATGTAGTGATTCACAATTTTTAAAGATTATGCTCTATTTATAGTTATTATAAAATATTGGCTATATTTTCCATGTTGTACAATATTTATATATAACAGTTTGTAGCTTACTTTATACAGAATAATTTGTATCTCTTAATCCCCTACACCATATTGCCCTTCCCGCTTCCCTCCCCCTACTGGTAACCACTAGTTTGTTCTCTGTGAATCTGCTTCTTTTATGTTATATTCACTAGTCTGTTGTATTTTTAAAATTCTACATATAACTGATGTCATACAGTATTTATCTTTCTGTGAGTCCATATTTTAATTCACTACATGTGCTAATATGTTTATACAGATCATTTTTATCAAGTTATCAAAGTGGAAAAAATTTTAAGTATTTTCAATGAAATAATATATATTTCTTTTTCAATAACCATAAAGAATGGAGAGAAGGTAAGAAAGTCTGATTCCTCAAGCCTTTATTATCACTTGTGTGCTTGTTTCAAAGGAGGTGAGGCATTTTGATGGCTGGGATACCCGGTTAATTTTTAACTATTTTTTTCCACAGCCCAAGAAGAGTGTATTGATCTTGACTTCTTCTACAGAAGAATTTAATCTGAGAATGTATGTGGTTTTTATTCTTGATTTCTCTTGAAGGCATGATGGGACCCCCTGGGCCACAAGGGTTTCCTGGTCCCCCAGGATTTCCAGGGGCAGCAGGGATTCCTGGGAGAGCTGATTCTGCTCCAGGAAAACCAGGGAACCAGGGACCCCCTGGGTTCCCTGGAGCACCAGGGCTGCCAGGACCTCCAGGATCAGAAGGTAGAGTGTTCCTTTCACACTCCTTGGCATTTATGTTGCATTTGATATTTGTAGTATCATTCAGAAAATGTGACTTTTCGAATTTTAAAAAGTTATCTAATATTTCATAATCAAGTTAGTCTTATTCATAATACAAAAAAAAGTACACTGATGTTGGACTACCACACCAATTAAAGTATATGAAAATATTTGGTTGAGAATTTAAGTATGGTGATAAAATTTTGTAAGTGAACACAATTTTTATTTTTTTAAATATATTTTCATTTTTATCAGAGTTATATATGGACCTGGCTTAAGAGGCAAACAGCTTTATGAAGGCCTGTTGTCAAGAACTGCCATCCCAGGCAAACCCTTGGCTTATTCCTGCCTCCCCAGGGGCAATTATTTCCCCACAATTAGCTGGATCTTTTATTATTTGCCTCTATATTGCCATACAACATACATATGTTGCTGTTTCTTAATTTTTCAATTTGAGCATTATCTTTTGGCTTTCTTCTCTAGAAGATGAATTTACCTCTCTCTCCCTACCCACCACACATGTGGATATGTTCCACTCCTACAACTAGCAATATAGTTATCATTATCATTTTAGGTAAATAAATATTCAGTATTTACATGGAGCAGTTATATAAATGCTATTCACCAGTTTAGCCAGTTCAGCCATGTAATAATTTGCATGATTACTTTCCCAGCATAAACTTTGGTTAATAATAGTCTTAGATTCTTATGTGTTTGCTTGGTTTTCAACATACTTATTGCTAATTCAACCTCAAACTATCTAGAATTGTATCAATCTCTTAATCGTACATTCTAACTCATTACCAGTATTATCTCCTTAAATAAATCTCTCCTGGAGCTTTTTGAGTTGTTCAGATTAGGGGGCTGCAGTTTAAAAGCTGATACTGAGATACGACCTTGAGATCTTCCTTCACCTTTATCTGAGGAATTCTCTCTGTCTCTGTCTCAGTCTCTCTTTGGATCCCTTTGTTTCCCACAATTCATATGTTTCTTTGAATGGTTTACTGTCTCATCATACTCTGCAAGAAAGTGTGTAAATTTGAAGTATCGTCACTGTCCCAAATGTCTTTATTCTCCTGCAGAGTTTGATTGCTAGTTTGGCTGAGCATAAAATTCTAGGTTGGAATTATTTTTCCTTCAGGTTTTTGAAGGCATTTTCTATTGTTTTCTAATGTTGCTACTGAGAAGTCCAGTAATACTTGGATACTTGACCCTTTGTTTAAAATCTTTTTTCTTCTCTGAAAACTTATAGGAATTTTTCTGTTTTCAATGTCTTTCAATTTTACAATGATTTCCCTCAGTGCAGGTACCTTTAGATTTTTTTGCAGGCACTCTGAACAGTTTCAATTGAACACAAATCCTTCATTTCTGGAAAAATTTCTTGAAGCATTTCTTTGAAGATATTCTCCCCTCTGTTTTTTTTTTTTTCCAGTTTACTATTTTTGGACTCAATATATGTGTCTCTTAGAGAATCAATCCTACATGTCTCTTTTTTTCTAATCTTCATTCTATTATTCTTCACCTTTTAATTTTTCTGTAATTTTCTGGTAGACTTCCTCAGCTTCATCATCCAAACCTGCTCCTGAATTTTTAAATTTCTACTGTCATAATCATTTTCTAAAAATTTCTGAGGATTTTGTTGTTTTTCTTTTAAATATTTCTTTTTGCAGCAGCCTGCTCATGTTTCAGGGATGAAATGTCTTCCCTCGTCTGCTTTTTAAGCTATATAGTTTATTTTAAAGATTTCTTCCTACTGCATTGTATGTTTCCTTCCATTTTGAGGTGGTTTGTTTTTTCCTGCTGCAATTTTTGAGAAGGGATTCTTACTATTTAGCTGCTTTAAAAAAAAAAAAAAAGACAAAAACCTAATCATCCTGTCTGGGCCTCACTCTTAACTCTATTTTAGAGGTACCAATTCCTAACCTTTGGGAATGATTTCTCATGTAAATTGTGTTTCTTTTTCTGCTTTCCCCACAGCCTGCTTGGAATTCAGCTTTTTAAGGTCTGCTAAATCTTTTTTCCTTTTTTTTTTTTTTTTTGCTATTGTTTCCTCTCCCTTTTCCTTTGTCTTGCAGGATTATGTCTTTTTGCAATATTCTTTTACTGCCTGTTGTTTACTAGTAATCAGGGAGGGCAAGAAACTTATTGTTTACATTTTAACTGTCATCTTTAATCAGATGTCTCTGAATTTTTGCTTTTACAAACTCTGCTGTATGCTTTCTTTATTAGGTAATTATTGATCACTGAAGGGGGAAAAATGTCTTTGCCATATACTTACTCTTAGGTTTTTTGTTCATTTGTTTTGTTTTGGCATATTTGTTTGTTTTGTTATCCATTACCTTGATCTGCAGTTCACTAAATTACGGCTGAGATTAGGGATGGTTTTATCAATGGTTACGGTAGCAGAAACTTGCTATGACAATTGTATGGTCTTTTTGTGAACATATTCTTCTATCAGAGAGAAAAAAGCATAAGAAAAGAATAGAAAAAAAGAATGAGATTGAGGGGATGATATGCATGCAAGAGACACTTCTACTTGTTCTGTTGAAGATGTTCACAAAAATTGTGTGATTCTCTCTGCCCACCCCCTTTCCCACTGTAAAGTTGTATATTGTAGTGTTGGGCATCCTGGACCACAAGGAATAAAAGGCAGAATGGGTCCTCCAGGAAGAAGAGGCTCAAAAGGAGAAAAAGGCAAGTATGCATCAAAGGTAAAATTTCTAAAAAAGGCAAGTATGCATCAAAGGTAAAATTTCTAAAAAACAACCACATATGGAGGATCGGAAGGCATAACGAAATGTATGATGTGGCATTTCATTTAGATTTTTTCCTCACCTTAATTACGCCTACAAGTACTTACAACATTGTGTGCTTATGACATGATTAGAACTTATCAAAAAGTCAAATCTTTATATCTCAGAGTATAAAGGAGACGCTTACCTGCCTTGAAACTTGCCTCAAAGTGGTGACTTGTTCCATGAGGTTCTCTCAGTTCCTTGAAAAAAAAGCAGAGATAGGACAGTTTTGATCTTTAATTTTGGTTTCTCTCTGTGGGTCCCTTATTTCATAGACTCATCAAATTCCTTTAGGTCTATGTTTCTACACCTTAAATTATTTGATGCCTTTTGACCAACTGAGTCAGGTGAGTAGGAGAACTGAAAAAAATGTCCTAAAAACACTTTCTTAGACTAAAGGTCCTGATTAGAAGGTGTGTTGTAGTGAATTATCAGTTGTACTATGCAATGCAGTCCATGGTCTCTCTTCACATATTATTTGGACTCTTCAAATGTTTAGAGTTTATGCTCTAACCCATTTTTTGTTGTTGTTTTTGCAGAAGGAGCCAAATTAAGAGATTTTTTTTAAAGTAGGAACCAAATGAGAGACTTCTAAACTTTCATTTTTTTATTTTTAACATTTTTTATTGATTTATAATCATTTTACAATGTTGTGTCAAATTCCAGTGTAGAGCACAATTTTTCAGTTATACATGAACATATATATATATATATATATTCATTGTCACATTTTTTTCGCTGTGAGCTACCACAAGATCTTGTATATATTTCCCTGTGCTATACAGTATAATCTTGTGTATCTATTCTACATTTTGAAATCCCCGTCTGTCCCTTCCCACCCCCCGCCTCATTTTTAAAGTTTCTTCAGTAGAATTGGACATCTGCTTTTTCCCCTAGATTTTGTCAGGATGAGTTTATTAAGACCCAGAACACCCCATTTGTCTAGAAATAGGTCCACCCCCTTTGACCATGCCCTTTGCTCCCCACATCACACGTTATCAATTGTCTGCACTAAGAATTGTGCACATCAAATGCTTTTTGTTCTGATTTGCACTATTGGTTTTGTACAGTAAAAACCTTTATTGGGATTTCATTCAGGAAATAATGACAAAGCTGCCTTTTATCCTCTGTCTAGGAATTGCAGGGCTCTGTGCCTGCCCGCCTGGTCCCATGGGCCCACCGGGCCTCCCTGGACTTCCTGGAAGGCAAGGTAGTAAGGGAGACTTGGGGCTCCCTGGGTGGCCTGGAGAAAAAGGTTACCCAGGCCCACCTGGTGCCAGAGGATCCCCAGGGCCTCCAGTGAGTAACGCTTCTCAGCATCCATCTTTCTAGTTAAAAGAGACAGCTGGAGCTAGAATTCAGTTATCCCTCTTTCTAATTTATAGTGTGACATGTATTTTATGTTTCAAATCTATAAATATATCAATGGCCAAAATTTGTCTCTATTCTTTTATTCA